GCGGGGCTGTGCCGCTATCGCCCTAGGTAGGATGGACCTGCCCCCCTGCCTCTGCCCCCATGTCCAATAAGAAGAGACCCGGCTTGACACCTGCCTATATACAGAGGAGGAGAGCAACATCCTCAGCGCTGGTCTGTGGAGGGGGGGGGAACCAGCCCAAAACACAACACAACATCAGGTCAGAGCGGGGGGCTCGGTGGTATTATAAACCCCCCCCCAAGGCTATGACTTCCAGTAAAATTGAGATGCCAGGGGAGGTGAAGGCAGATCCTGCAGCTCTGATGGCATCTCTGCATCTGCTGCCTTCTCCCACTCTCAACCTTGAAATCAAATACACCAAGGTAAGTTGTGTTCGTTTGTTCTGGCAGGGAAATTCACGGTTTTCCCTCCAAATGAGGGATTTTGCTTAAAATCAGTTTAATTCAGCCCTACCCAACTTGAGTGCAGAGATAAAAAACTGCTACAAGTCTGCCTCGAATCTGTAATAAAGGAAACAGATTTTTAGCCCTGTAATCATCTGAAAAACCACAGGATAATAGAAAAGCAAATTAGATCTGCTGGGACTGGCTTTGCCACTTCTCTTTGAATGTACTGTTCTTCTACAGAGCTGTTGGGGTTTATTTTCAGTGCAAAATCAGTAGTTCTTGAGTATGTTTCAGTTGCTTTTGATGTACTTCTGAGGACATTATTATACATACCTGGGTATCTCAATCAGAAAATAAAATGTTTTCTTTCTTGAATTACCCTGTGTGCCCCAAGGGACTCTTTTACAATTCCTGGAGGACTCTTAATACTACCAGGTTGTTACAGCACTGGAACAGGTCTCTGCTAACTTCCGTGATACTTGAACCATATTGTAAGAGGACATATTTTTCCTACTAACCTTTAAGATTAATTTTCATAAAGAGAGTGTTAAGAACAAACCCATTGGGTCAATTTAGAAAAATCTGATTTTCTGTGGTGTATTATGGGACTAAATAGGTTTTGTTGATTAAAATGGGCTTTAAGAATAGTCATTTGTTTGTAAATGCAATTTGGATTTTTAAATTCGTTTATATATTTTTAGTCTTTGCATCTTTGGTATCTTTAAAGAATGTTTTCATTCCTGATGGGGAAGTTTCAAATCTATTGTATAAACAAATTACAATGTGTCAGACTTTGTTTCTAATTACCAAGTAACTTAATAGGAAAATAAGCACATCAGCACTGGAAAAAGGTGATAACACTTTTATCTCCTGGAAATACAACTTCAGGAGTTTTAATGCTGATAGGAAACTGATTTTGGCCGATGTAGTGTAATTTTTCCCTCCATATCATCACTTTAAAAGCTTTTCATCTTTTCTCTTTTTTTAGTGGGTGCCAAAACTAATTTGTCCTCTAATTTGTTACAGCAATTCCATGTTCTAGAAGAATGTTTCAGAGGAGAGTCAACTGGTTTAGATTTCATTACATTTTAATGCAAACTGAAATATGCAAATTAAAAGATGCATATGGTTCCTTGCACATAATTTCTTTTAAAATGGTTGAAGTAAATAAGGAATGCAGTTATTGGATGCTGTGTAGTGTTACACTTTGGGAACAATCTTACTGTGTAAGTAGCATTTGGCATGATTTTTGTGCATTGCTGGTTTCAGTGCAAGCTGTACTTCAGGAGTGTTCGGTGGGAAACACTTGAGAGTAGTATCGCAGCTAGTTTGCATAGTAAGTGCACTTGCATTTCTCTGCTCTAAAACTGGAAAATCAGTTCTAAATATCTTGGGAAAATACAGCAGTCAGCAGCAACTAGAGCTTCCTATCTGTGAGAATGTAAGCTGGGTAGTAACCTTGAATAAATCAGAGTACATAGTGCCATCATTATAGATGTACCATGTTACACATTTTATACTAATGGAACAACTAAAAGAAAGTTATTTCATCTCAATATTAAGCCAAAAGCAACAGCAGCATGTTTCTTCTAAGCTTGGTCTTGAGATATCAGGTAACTCCTGGTTCCTTTTGAGAAAAATTTGGTTTAGGACAGGTATCAAATGTTTCACTTGGCACATCCTCTGTCTCTGTTTTTCTGTCTGTCTCGCTCTTTCCTCCTTTTTCTCTCTTTCTCTGCAGGAAATTCAAGTGATTTATAGATAATTGGAGTCTTCAGCTTGGAGTCTTGTCTTGGGCAAGACTTTTATCCAGGATCCACTTTCCCACCTATTACAAAGAAAAACAATCAAAAATGAAATAATGGATTGTAACTTGATTCTTTCTTTGGGGGGAGTGGTCACTTCATGTCCTAAATGACAAACAACTTCCATAAACAATAAATAACATTAGACTAAAGCACTTTGGCAAGAAAAAACCCCCCAACAACCCCAAACCTTGTAAAATCAGACATCTGTAAGCATTCCGAGCAGCCTCTCTCCTGCTTGTTAGCTGGGAATTTTAAATACACAACCAGGACACAGAATTCTTGAATGTTTTATTACAGCTGTCTCTGAATATAAAATCTTAACCATTTGGGAGTTAATTCCTTATGAAAAATAGAGGTACCTGTGAACATTTAAACTAAGTGAAAGAATTTGAAAATATGGTTTGCCCGTTAGATTTTATTTCTGCAATTCCGAAGTCGGTGAATACACAGTTTTGTTAGGCTAGAATGTGTTAAAAATCCGGGATTCCCTAAATGAGATTTGTTAAGGATTTGTAATATGTACTGGGCAAAAAAATTATTATTCATTAATCTTTTACAAACTGCATTACCCTTGGGATTACCCCAAAAGGTCCTGCCAAGAACACACATAAAACAAATATTACCTGTGTCATTTTTCATTTCTTCGATTATTTAGAAGAATTATCAAAACCTGTGAAATATTACTCCAGTAGGTTTATTGTAGTGAGCAGAAAACCGTCTGTTAAGTCCTTCTGATCTGTACACCTGATGCAGCACACAAAGGCAAGGTAGGTTTGGATGGGTCAGAAAAAAATGTTTAGTGATGAAAATTACACAATTCCATCCTTTTATGTAAGATGTGCAGCAGTAGCTATTGTGAATTCAGTATTGAAAGTCAGCCTATGCTGCTTTAAGAAAACAGTCATTAGACATATTTTTCCCAGGTTTTTAATACCTTGGCATGGTCTGTGAAAAATAAAGTGTTGTAGATGTGCGGAATAAGAACTGGTGAGCAGGATGTGAACCAGACGTGCAGGTGAGTGTTCAAGCACACAGGGTTAAGTTTTCTATATAGCTGGCAAGTACTAGGGCTGCTACGTGCAAGATTAACTCTCTTTTCACTGTGATGACTCTTTAACTCTCTCCTTATTAACATTTGGGGAGTGATTGCATCTGCAGAATGGGACATCTCAGAGCAGTGCATGGAATTAGGTCGTGCTCCAGCCCTGTGGCACAGCAAGTCCTCAGGCTTGTCAGGAGTGTGTCGACAGTGCTATGTTCCATATGTAAGGGGCATGTAGGTAGGAAGGGGATCCAGCCCTCCCCCTGGCAACAAGTCACGCTTCTACAAAAGTCAACTTTATGCCAGAAACTCTCCCAGAATGGGCTGCTCCAGAAATATCAGATGTGTGAGACAAGCGATAGCGTGACGTCTGTCTGGTAAGGACATGTTATTAGCATGCTTTGTACAGGAAGCACACCCCTGAAGACCTGCTAGCTTCTGAGGGTGATCAGAGGGTTCTCTGCCTAGTATTATATTGATGCCTCCCACTGGAATGCTTTAATGAAACTCCATTTTCTCTCCTGAGACTGTCTCCCAAGTACCTGGCAGTAGACATGGAATTAGCCCAGTGGATTGAGCCCTTTGCACCATTTCTGTCTTGCTGTCTCTAAGGGACTAAAGGTGTTACTACAGGATGTGGCTATCTTTCCTTTGTTATGGCATGATCACATCTGCTTGACAAAATATTTTCATTGTGGTTTTTAGTAAGCCATGTTGACTCTTTAAAAGACAGCGTGGTGTAAAATGAGGGCCCCAGGGCTCTGTCCTGTCCCAGCTCTATTGCTACATCAGGTAGTTGAGTGCACAATGTTCTCAGTTTGCATCGTGTTGGGGACACTAATCCAGATGGATATTTTAAGTTTTGTTTCTTGCTTGCCAACTGATTTAGGTTGGAGAAAGAGCTGAACACCTTTAGCGTAAGGAAAAACTGAACAATTTTGTGTTTGAGAGGTTTTTATAAAGGGATGCTTTAAAGGGATGAAGTGCAGTAGCAGTGAACAGGTACAGAAACATTTCTGTATTAGAAGCCTTTGAATTAGCTGACAACCACATTTTCTTTGTCTTGTATACAAGGGTTTGCCTCTACTCTTACATCAAAGGCTAAAATCAGACCAGGTAAACTACCTAGCACTACAACAGAAAACTGAATACAGGAGTTTGTATGAAGTGTAGGCAAACTGCTTCTGGGAAGACAAGTACTAACAAATACATTTCAAATTCTCGTATCTGGGTTTGAAGTGGTTTATGCTAAGTTTCAGTATTTTCATTCCCATTGTGCTTTCTTGGCATTGCCCAGAAATGAATGCTGCAGAACACTGTTAAAAATTCTTTTAATCAAAATTTCCAGCACGTGTTTTCCAGATAAAATTCTAGACTGATATTAGGATAGGAGGCAGGAAATGTATTTTATTTAGGATAATATGCAGAATCTTTGTCATTTTTTGAACTGAAGCCAAGCTTTGGCAAAACTCAGGTAAGTGATGAATACATGCACTTTCCCTCATGTCTCTCCCTGAATGAGCTAATTTAATGCCTTTTGAAGTGATATGCAGTGTGTGGTGCTTGAAGAAACCAGCCAACCTTTTGGGGCAGCTGGGTGAGCCATGGGCCTGTTACAAAAGATGGGGCACAGAAAATTAGAGATGTTTGCATGAAGAACAGACAAGTAGAACAGCTACTTTTCCCTTAGTGGAACACTTCTGCGTCTGATGATGACACTAGGTATGTCCCTCTGCATCATCATACATTTTAGTGTATATAGTGTATTGAGATTTACTGTTGTTTAATTTTCCAGTTTGGATTCTCTTCTGGTGTAGTCATGCTTTGTGTTTAGAATTATAATTCATCAACTTATATAGAAATTGCAGACTATTTATGCACTTCTTTGCAAAAAGCAGCCTGAATATAGGATTCTTTCTTTCCTCCTAAACCTTTAAGTCCCTCTGCACAAACCCATTTTACCCAGATTTTGCCTGAGAGAGCAAGTAACAACTGTTATCTTATGCAGATCGAGTCCCTGCTGCAATAGCCATGTAATTCAAGGGCATTAAAAACACAGAAACCACCAAGCTGAAACTGGTCACAACTAGAGAACAACTGCAGGCTTCTCTGAGTGGGTAAAAGTG